GTATCTTCGTGCATCTTCATGCATCCATAGCAGGTACTCAGAAGGTACTCAGAATGGGGAATCCTTATTCGGACTCAGTATTTTCTTTTCAGAACTGCCAATCTTGACTTCTCGTCGCTTCGTGATCAGATTCAAGTTATGAAACAACTTTGTGGGGAATTGGATGAGATGAAAAGAATCAGATGGGGCTATTTATTGGGGATATGCAAGCAATGGCCTGTAATCAGAAATCCTCAAGGGGAAAAATAGCCAGTTGAAGACTTAGTTGAGTCAGGTATGGAAGTTTTAAAGACAGTGTCAGCAAAGAAAAGTGATCTTATATACGTTGTTGCAACAGGAGCTGTCATTCATCCCCATCCTATGGGACATTTTTTCAAATCATGAGATACTCTGTGGGTCTCACCCAGAGCTTCGTGTTCTCGGATTTTCTTGCTAGCAGCTAGTTTCTGGTCTCCAAGTGAACCCATGGGGTAAAACTTACCAGCAGAGGAAAAAAAAGAAGCTTGAGAAGCAGGTTGGTACAATCTCAATGCCTTGTATCCAGTTACTTCTTCGTGTGTTGGAAGCTCAGTTGATTAAGCTTCGTGCTTTGGGTCATCCTCCAACAAATTTCTCCCCTAATTTCGATGCAAATGCTAGATGTGTCTCCCATTCTGGGGCACTTAGTTAGGATATTAAATACTGCAAGGGGCTGAAGTATGAAGTTTGGTACTTGTTTGGCTTCTTTTCCAAGGTTCAGTCCATGTTTGGAAAACCATTTCAGACTCGTTTTCCTCAGCTGGATGCTTCTTATGTGTAAATATAAGATGGGGTGATGCTTCTGTGGTGAAGAAGTATAAGATATCGAGTTCTTGGATATCTGCTGTTGTGTAGAAGAAAAATACCTCAAAGGTCGAATTCTATATTCAGAGTTTAGTTTCTTTTGTGTAGTAGAAGATTCTTTGTTACAGTTTCTGAATTTTGCTTTTGTGTAGTAGAAGACGGTGACTCTTTTGTGAAGTAGGAGATTCTCCATAATTCGGTTGCTAAAACTTCTCTCTTGTGAAGTAGGAGATAAAGTTTACTTTCTTTTGTGTAGTAGAAGATTCTTTGGTATGGTTGCCGGATGTCGCTTCTATGTAATAGAAGACGTCGCTTCTTTTGTGTAGTAGGAGACGCTCCGGAATTCAGCGGCTGGATTTCTCTTCTATGTAGTAGAAGATGGTTGGCATTTCTTCTCTATGGTAGAAGATACTTTGTGATGCAATTTATGCAAGTTCGCTTGATAAAGCCTTCATCACATATGGTGAAGGAATTCGATGTGATTACCATACTGGGGCGTCTGGCCATTCAACTGAATATTGTAAACCATTCAGAGATGAAGTGTAAGACTTGCTTGATGCAAAGGCTATCAATTTCGAGTCAGACAGTCAGATTTGAGGTCTCCCTTGACTAAGTAAATGTCAAGACTGGCAGATCATCGTCCGAAGAAACAAGTCCATACGGAGACTAGTCTCCTCAATATGGAAATTTCAAATTACATCTGCATTCTCATTTGCAATCTCTCTTACTTTGGTTCAGCACTTTCTTGTATGCAAAACTTGCTTATTTTTGAATATTAATCATAATGCATTAAATATGTTTGTCTTGAATTAATCCATTCGTATTCACTCATTAATGTTTTTCTTTGACTTTTGGATACTTAACTCTTGTTAAATAAAGCAAAAGAACTTCTGGAGGGAGGATGATGAGTAATATACCAAAAATTTCGAATGGTGTGCTTTTGAATAAAAACCTTGCTGACGATGTACAGGCCTTGTTTCAATTCCTAAGCACCGGAGATATAAGGAAGTGAAACCCTCGTTAACCCCATTGAGCCTTGAAGTAGGAGTTTCTTTTCTTGTCAAAAAAAACCCTCACGTCTCTAACCTGGGGCAGGGTAGATTTCAGTTGATTCGATCGAGCGCTCAGAACTCATCAGGAGTGCGCATCTAAGGATACAATAATGGTTATCCATCAAAAGGCTAAGGAAGGTAAAAAAAACCCGCAATGGTTAACTCTCATATATCAGCAGTGTACATCAAAAAGAATAATACCACAATGGTTATCTCTCGCACATCAAGAGGTCAAAAGATTATGATACAACGGTAGTCATCCCTCACCAAAGACTCAGGCAGTCATAATTACCTCCAACAAGTCGAAAATGACTCGAAGTCACACGACTGGTTCAGATAAAAAGAAATGATGAAAGAAAGAGACAAAAAGCCCCGCTAAGTCAAAACTTGGAAAACGAGTCGCTTAGGCAAAAGTCAGGGCTTCCCGCTGGACTTCAAAATCAAAATTCAAAAGGATTTGTCCAGGCGAAATTTAAAGAAAGAAAAAAGCGCGAAAAGCAAAAGGGGATTACCAAATAAAGATCCTCCATAAAGAATAAAGTCGCGTATCCAGAAGCACTAAAAATGAAAGAGGTGAGTGACTGCTATGTCCAAAAAACCTCGCTTGACTCTTCCACCATTGTAAACTCTTCTTGAGAGATGAGTGCTCGTATCGAGTTAACTGAATTTAGGACTGGAGAACATCATGAAGGGGGTGGGCACCAAATAATTTTGAGCCTTAAATCCTTTTTTTTAAAACCATGAACCAGGCCACATTACAACCCTTAAAAGTCCTAACTGAAGCAAGGGTTAATTCGGAAGCGATACCGTAATGAGGGTATGGTAACCTGACCCCTAGGAGGATTGCTAAATTTTTTGAGTTGGTATCACTCCATCTTTTTACTATCTTTTGTACAAATTTTTTTTTGATGTTTCAACATCTTTTCAAATAAAAGTTTTTTAACTTCAAGACAAACATGAGCTTTGCATTAGAATTATCATTCTTAGAATAAACATTCTTTGCATATGAACAAGTGCTTAAACATCAAGTAAGCTTGCATAATGAGCATCAGATGAAAGTTTGATTATTTCAAGGGACAAATTGCTTCAGGATACCGTTGAAAGGTAATTTATTTGTGAGAATGGTCTTAATCTGGGGCAGACCTACTATTGATTGTTGAGTAAAAGAATACCAGTTTGAGAAATGTTCTGAAGCAGATTGCAAAAGTTTGATTGCCCAAAGCCTCTATTAAGTAGCGGTGCATTACTGTCAGTTGATCCCAAGGGATGTTTTGCTTTCAAGTATCTATTGGAGAATGAAGTAGTCCAAGTTGAGAAGCACATTCATGTGCTAACCTATTTTCAAGATGTAAATCAGCCAATATGAGGCGTTCAAATCGGGGTTTTATCCCTTAAGGTGCAGTCAAACTAGGGCATATTTCCACGATTTTATTTTGTGAAAGTATTGTTGGTCTTTATGACAAGAAGCATACCAGTACGTGAATCAAGAAAGGTCTGCATGTGACCAACATGAGGAGTTCTGCGGAATGGGATTCAATTTCCCCAGTGAATGTTCACTTCTTCTCAAGACAAAATCCTGTATCCCCAGTTGAAGTCAATTTTCGAGAATCGGCTGGAGTTATTCATCTACTATTCCCCAGTGGAGCGAGTTCTATTTCCCTAGTGGGGCAAATATCTTATCTCCCCAATGTGGTTTATATGAGAATGTCAGTGATGACTCTTTCATCCCCGATGGTGTTGTTATCCCCAGTGTGGTCGAGTAGATTTCTTTTTATTTAAGAGTTTATATACTCCTCAGTAGAAGTTATCTTCGTCAAGATATTTTACGCGAGAAAGTTTTCATCCTCGGCAAAGCTTTCCTCTTTCTAACGGAAGATAAAGAATTCATCCCCCAGGAATTTGGGAGCTCGATCAAAATTCAAGATTTTTCCAGGACTGCAATTTATTTTTGCAGTATTACTCCCCAGGAAGTTGTTTCTTCAATGTTATCAATCGTTCGAGGTTGATGGTTTCAAATCTCGGTTCCCCATTGAAGTTCATATTGCCTTTTCTCTACAGAAGATCAAATGTGCAAGAATAATCATTCGGAAGTTCATCGTCTTCCCAGCATCCGAGTATTTATGTGATTTCCCCAGTGCATTACTAAACATGCATCATTATATTGCATCGTTACATCGCATCTACTAAAATGCATATCATTTCCATTGCATGGAGCATTACGCTATAAAAAAATTCAAACATGCATGAGTATAAGCCAATTATGTCCACTTGTAGTAACCAGATTGTTATGCACTCAAATTTTATTTATATCCACAACAAGCCTAGGGTGACTCTATTATGTTTCCCCATCAGAGTTTGTTTTGATTCACCATCAGTCGGGTCTTTAGTATTTCTCCATTTCCCTAGTAAGTTTGTGGTTTGCGCTTGCCTTTGCAAGCTTTTGGTTATTTTACCCGTGTTTGTTTTGTCGTTAGAGTGCGAGTAAGAGTCGGCGTATAACCTTTCTTATTTCTCAAGTATTTGAGTATCCATACTTGGTGTGTGGTAATTCAGATAATTGCCACTCTTGAAGAATTACACCCCGCCTTTGGCCTGAGGGATTCTATAGTTCTTGCGAATTTGCAACCTATCAAGCCCAATGTGTTTTGGAAATCCTTGTTAGAGTCCGCTTTGACCGATCTCTTTCTATTGTAGAGTTCACCTTCGATCGGTGCTCTTTGAAGGTCCTGCTTAATCAGTTCCTTGTTTTGGTTTATCCGCGTCAGTCAGGTCCTCCTTTCGCTAGCTTAGCTAACCTTATTTGTTAAGAGTCCTTCAGTGTCTCTTCAAAGTCCAGTTGTCTGGCGCCCTTGTCTAGTCGAATGCGTCCTTTTTTGTTGGGGCTTTCTTCGGTTAGTCTCGTTCTTGCATTCATTATCAACTCCAAACATTTGTTCCTTGATGCTTAATTTCACTCTTGTGTATCTAACTCTGACCAGATATGCACACCTTTATCCTTTAAAACCCCGCTTCGGCGGGTACCCTTTGTTCAAAATCCCGCTTCGGCTGGTATCTTTCAAAATCCCGCTTCGGCTGGTATCTTTCAAAATCCCGCTTCGGCTGGTATCTTTCAAAATCCAGCTTCAGATGGTATCTTTCAAAATCCCGCTTCAGCTGGTATCTTTTAAAATCCCGCTTCGGCTGGTATCTTTCAAAATCCCGCTTCGGCTGGTATCTTTCAAAATCCTGCTTCGGCTGGTATCTTTCAAAATCCCGCTTCAGCTGGTATCTTTCAAAATCCCGCTTCGGCTGGTATTATTTGCTAAAACCCATCTTCGGCTGGTATCTTTCAAAATCCCGCTTCGGCTGGTATCTTTCAAAATCCCACTCCGGCAGGTATCTTTTAAAGTCCCGCTTCGGCTGGTATCGGTTGTTAAAAACCCCGCTTCGGCTGGTATCCCTTAAAACCCCGTTTCGGCTAGTATCTTTTTTCAAAATCCCGCTTTGGCTGGTGTTATTTCTTTTAAATCCATCTTCGGCTGGTATCATTTGTTAAGAGTCACCTTCGGCTGTTCTCTTTTCATGTTGAAAGTTCGCCCTTGATCGGTGTTCTTTCCCCTAAAATCCATCTTCGGTTGGTATCATTTGTTAAAGAGTCACCTTCGGCTGTTCTCTTTTCATGTTGAAAGTTCGCCCTTGATCGGTGTTCCTTCCCCTAAAATCCATCTTCGGTTGGTATCATTTGTTAAAGAGTCACCTTCGACTGTTCTCTTTTCATGTTGAAAATTCTCCCTTGATCGAGGTTCTTTCCCCTTAAATCCACCTTTGGCCGGGGTCATTTGTTAAAGGTCCCATTAGTTTGGTCTCTTTTCTTTGTAAGTTCGCCTTTGATCGATGTTCTGTTCAGAGTCAATGTATATTTGTGTCCCTAGTAAATTCGCCTTTGATTAGCGTTCCTTCGTTAGAGCCTTCTTCGGTCGGTCTCTTTCTTGTGTATGTCTAACCTTGACCTGACATCCAAGAGATTTACTCAGCTAACTACTGCAATCCAAAAAAGGCTAAAAAATAGAAAATACAGAAAACCTAAATATCACAATACCTGGTTGGCTCCAGAGCGCAAATTTCTGGGTTCTTTTTAGTATTTAATCTTCTCCCACTTTGAATGTTCGAAAGGCTATAGCCAATCTCACTTTCAGGTTTAAGACGATTAAATAGGGGCAGCTGTTGCACCCTGAAATTTTCCCTCTTACTTGTAAACGAATTGGCTTATACTCCACCATCATATTCATCACTTGCATTGCGTTAACTCGAGGACATATAATCAAGGTTTTGGATGGATATGTAAACATTGCCTTAAAGAAGAATATTTATCTTCAGAGGTTGCGTATCCGAAGTCTTTTCATCTCAAATATCATCTCAAGTCATGAGGTATGTGGGTATAAGAGCGCTTCAGGACGTTCCAGTTGGATTAACGTTTAGGAGTTATGGTCCACATCCCCGATCTTTGCGATGCAATCAGTATTCTTGATTGGTGGTGTGGTTTAACTGATCTTTTAAAGTCTAAAATGGTCTCGTGGTTTTTCTCATGTGCATGAGGTCTGCTGGTCTCCACATTTTTATCAGAAGAATCGGGGTCAATCGAATAAAAAAAGATTTAGGCGTGTATGAGCAAAGGTCAACAAAATTCAAAAAATCGACTAAAGGAGTTTTTGATTAGGGTCATTTGTTAAAGGTCCCAAACGTGAGGAAATTTGCTGAGTTGTTGGGAAAAATCGAAGGAATCGGCCGAATTTGAAGTTTCTCGCATTTTTAGTGATATGGGCTCTTAATAATTTTTAGAAGATTTTTCAAAATATGGTAAACTTCATGGCTATTTTTGAGGTCCCGTTTAGACTCAAATACAAAATCTCCGAACATGAAAGTTGAAGATCAGATTCTCCTCTCCAGTTTTGATTCAAGAATCGTACTATTCGGAGGTTCGTAGAGAAAGTTATGATGTTTACGTTTTGAAGGCTTGAAAGATGAAATGCTGCCAAGACTTGCCTTGCCTGGCCAACATTTCATCGAGCAGGTGGCAGGCGCATGTTTAGGACGTTTTTTATCATGGATTTATGTCTCGTTTCAAAATATGTCGAACATGAAAGTTGGAGTGTGTCACACACTCTTCGTTTTTGCTTCAAACTTCGTCTTGTTTTGTGCACCGTGGAAAGAAATATTGAAGCGCAAAGTAGGAGGATTGAAGAGGACGAGAGGCAGGTGCCACGCATGGAATTTGTAATGCCAAGCCTGGAATTTTTTCGAACAGTTGCAAGGAATATACTTATCGCATTTTTCTTTATGGTTAAGGCCGTGTCCAGATTGGAAGCAAACTGTGAACTTGTTCTATCATTTGTCCTCTTTCCAACGGTATCAAGTTTATGGCGTTTGGATCATTATTGGGAAAGTTACGAGATTTTGAAGTCGTGGTGATGGAATTGAGTTCTGCATGCTGAGTTTCCAGTTATCGCGAACAGTTTTGGTACCACGGTTTCGCGATCATTTTTTTATGTTTCGAGAGTTATTTCAAGAAATTTTCCAACATGAATGTTGTTTAGGGAAATTCACTCTTCAACTTTTATGTTGAGACTTTATCTTGAAGAACGCTATATCTCGAATTATTGAATCATGAAAAGGAGGTTGGAGCATTGACGGGAAATCGTCGGTAATGACAGAATTGCCGGTGTTTATTTCAGTTACGGTTTCATAATTTCAGGACCATCTTAGGACGGGCTATGGTCGTTATTTCGAGGCGAGGCCAACACGAAGAATGTTCCTTGATACGTCCTCTTTTTAATGATATCAAGATCGCGCCGAAAGGAGTGTTATAGCGCAAGATATACAAGCATGAAGGTGGTCATGTAACCATGCATAATAACAGAATCTTTTGGAAAAAGGCTACTGTATCATAACTCGCGTATGCATGTGATGACAGTTTCGATGGCCATGCGATAATTAGTTACTGCATGTATAATGAGAGTAACCATAAGGAGTCTTTTCCATTTTTATCCATGTAACCGTAACAAACTGTTGGCAACGAATTTTTTTTTGGCTCATACTCGCAACGACAATCGAATCCTCTATGATTCTAACAAAAACAACTTGGCTCATAACAGAAAATATATAACCATCACCTGGGCTCGCTCATTTTTTTTTCCGGCTTCCTCTCTCACTGATTTTTTTCAACGAACGAACCCTCTCGCTCTCGCTTTCATGTAACAAGAACGCTTTTTCTTCACAACACAGTAACCAGCTCGCTCTTTTTTCTTCCTTCCATCACAGCAGCTACTACAAGAGTTTCAAGCCCTTTCATCGTCAACGACCGCGCTCCCTCGCTTCCCTTCATCACGGTGACATTCGATAATCCGCGTCGCCTTTGGTGATTCAATGAGTTCTTGAACTTCATTCCGATCTTCGCAAACAGAAATGGTGACTTGCGTTTAGTTCGCCGCTGGATCTGGAAAGGTTCGCCAAGATCCAAGGAGCAGCAGAGTCATTCTTCTCGCATAGCTTTCGCAAGCTTCAAGCCGGTAAGTTCTTCCGAATTTTTTTACCGTTTAGTTCGTCGTATAAGATTCATTCGTATGCTCATAGGCCAGAACTGAGGTTGATATGCGCGGATGACTCGGTTCACCATAAACGCCACTTTTAGATCTCGTTTGAAGTTTCTAATATACATGATTTCCATGGAGTTTTGTTGAATTTCGGAGTCGGATTCGGAATCAGCGTAAAATTCCGAACAAGACAACGCCTTTTTTGTGTCATCTTTGCTTAGTTGCAGTAGCCGGCACCGACGGTAATTGACGGAAAAAGTTGTTCTTGCCGGAGAACATCCACATGAGGCCACCCTGCCCTAGACGTGGTCGTTGTTCACTTGTTGGTAATGAAGATCATGCTGGCCAATCAAAGCACGTTTCTTTCATTACTTGAATTGATTTTCTTTTTTTCTTTTTAAGAACATTTATATTGTGGTTTATCTACAACTTGATAAAGAAATGCAAATGGTTAAAAAAAGAGGGAGCGTGGCATTAAAAAAAAACTGGAAGGTTATTGTTTTTGGAGCAAACAGGCTTAGGAGTAGTTTCAAATTTGGGCCTAATAAATTTGTGATTACACTCCCTTATTAATGGATTTGAATGCCCATTTGACTAGAATTAGTGCAAATAGGAGATTTGGTTATACACCTCCTGGAAGATTCTATATAAATTTGACGCTTATCCGTTTTAGTACATAATTTTCGATTTTTCTTTAGTCTATAAAAAAATCTAAAAAAATAATAAATTCAAATATAAAAATTTGTTAGTTTTTATTTGAGATTTTAGGAATTTAATTCCGATTGTCTGATGATATTTGAGATCGGTAATTCACTTTTTCTTGTTGAGATTTGAGTTTTATGCAGGTTTATTGTGCGATATGCAAATGCGCTTGAGATTTCGATTGTGATTTATTTTCACATCGACGATGCGTCGACATTTATTCCGAGCATTTGATTTCTGACTCTTTTCTTTGATTGGTGAAGCTTTCGCGAAGATCGTCGGGTTTCTTTGTGTTGATAGGCTTTGCTACGGATTGATATCTGTTTGGTATTCTCTCTTATTTATCTCATTTCAGCACTTTACTGCTTTCTAGATATCATGAGAAGTAGGAAATAAAAAGCGTGCGCTCAAAGTCGCTGTTTAAAGACCTGTAGCAGGCATTCCGCACTTCATTTGCCATATGTGTTGTGCTTGTGTTTGTTTACTTTCTTGTTGATCGATGAGTCACTCAATTTAGAAATTAAGATCACGACTTCGCTCTCAGTGCATGCTCCCTATAGGATTTCATCGCTTTCCTTTATTTCTTGTTGATCGATGAGTCACTCAATTTAGAAATTGAGATCACGACTTCGCTCTCATTGCATGTTCCCTATAGGATAGTTTTGTTAGACTTTCTTAGGTAATGGTAGCCTAGATAGATTATCTCTAGTTGTGCTCACTTGAGCTAACTCTCTTGAGCTTATTGGCTTACCTGTTTGATTTCATCTTTGTGTATATAGTTTTAGGTGATAGACCCTTGCTATGCTCCTTTAGGACTTCTTGATTCATCTATAGATGATGAGTTGAGATAGACATTAGGATTGTTATCCAAGCATGTCAACATAGGGTAGAGATTTCCCTTCAAAACTCAACCATAGGACCATCATTGTATGATAACATTAGGGATAGATCTAGGTTAGTCTCCCTTAGATGTTTTTCTTTCTTTTGCATCCGTGCATTAAAATAAAAACTTCCTTTTTTTCTTTGGAAAAAAATATTAAAACATCTAACAACTTCCAATTCCTTCTTCAAGGTAAAAGATATCAACCAATGCAAACTCTTTGGCGCCTTCGGGCTTTTTCTTTCAAACTCTTTTCAGAAAGAACATGTTAATTCACTTCTGTGCTGACGCGTAAGTCTCCAAAGGTCGAGTTGCGGCAGAAGGCGAAATTAATATTTTTCATTAAAAAATACAAACCAACAAAAACTTGTTAGCCGAACTACGGATGCTCTGATTCCTTAAAAGGGATACGTAGGCATTGGGGTAGGGCCCAAGCGAGCACAACTTTTCATTTTCCCTACATTCTTTTCTCTTTTATTTTGCATGCATTTCCTGTACAGTCTAGATATAGATTTTAAACACACCCATAAGATAGATAACAAGAGTGGATACCGTAGAGTACTACGGGCGTGTGGGGTGCTAATACATTCCCCTCGCGTAACAGACTCCCTTACCCGATCTCTCGGTCGCAAGACCGTGACTTCTCCCTTCTCAGGTTTTCTCGATGTTTACCTTTCCCCTCTTGTGAGATAAAAAACGTTCGATGGCGACTTCATTGATTTCATTATCAGTTGATTGGTCAGTCGGTTGTTTCAGCGCCCTCTTCCATTTCTCGTGGTGTGATGGTGGAGATGGAGTGCGATCAAGACTTATAAAACCTCCCATCTCTTCCTTTTTTTATTTCTATTTTCTTCAAAAAAAAATTTCAAGTCTTTGACATCCTCCACGAGACAACCTATGTGGATAAATATTTCCAGCTTGATTTTCTTTTCCTTTTCGGATCCTTGTCAAGAAGACAAGAGTTGTGCGAGACTCTACAAATTTCTCCCAAACATCTTGATCAATAAAAGAATACACCTCGTATGAAGGCTTTTCTTTATCTTCTTCATGTTCAATATAATCATGGGTGAGTTGTGTCTTACAACCTCTCCAACGCTCACCATAAAATGACTATCAAGAGACTAACCCAAATCAAACAGTAACATTTCAGTGAAAATAAATGGAAAATCATAGAAACAAAATGATCAATAAACAAACTAACGTAGAAATCCTAAACAAAATGATCAAGAGACTATTTTAGTGAAGAACAAACCTGTTGCGAAAATGACGTTTGATGAATATCTGTTGGAAGTGTTTTAATGAATATCAACTTGAAAATCGCTTAGGATTTTTTGTGAAATGATATTGACAAACTAGCGTTTGGCGTTGATAAATAAATGAAAAATTAAAAACTAGATAGTTGTCTGAAGTATTTCATACAAATTAAGTGTCACATCAGTTTTACTTAAAAACCTGACGTGATATTATTAATTAAAAATATAAAATATTAAAAAAAAAACACGATAACGCCATATTCTTAACATTCATTTAAAAGGTATATCATTATCGATTTTTGTTGAAAACTAAGAGATTTAAACATATCAAATAAAACATTAAAATAAAAATTTGAAAATAAAATTATATAATTATTAATCTAAAATATATTAATTTTCAATTGGATTCTATAACTGAGATAAATATTAATAAAAATATAAAATAAAAATGAAATTTAAAAAGGCGGCAAAACGTCATCAATTTAAATAGGAGAAACTTTCATAAGATTAATATTTAAAAAATCATTGGAAGTACTAACTTTGTAATACAATTTCAACTCGTTACATCATCATGGACAAAAACCTCTTATAATCAATCAATAATTTGAAGCGGGTGTGATAAATTATTCATTAGAAGAATTAGTAGCATGTAGTTGTTAAATATTAATTAAACAGGTATCTTACTAATTCAAAAACAACTTTTTTACTAGGTCTTTAAATGTATTTTATAAGTAAATATATGGAATATTTCAATGTCTAAACTTCTTATAAATATACTCTCTCTATGTTTCCAAAAATATCATCATTCATAAACATACAGAAGCAAATATACAACAAACAAACAAAGAGAGCAATATGAAGAGTAGTTACTTGTTTTTTCCAGCCTTCTTGGCCTTAGCATCTTGTGCTTTAGCATTTGATCCCAGCCCTCTACAAGACTTTTGTGTAGCTATCAATGACACCAACAATGGTGGTATGTATATATAATAATGTTTTTTCTGTTCATTAGTACTTTTCTGCTATGATAGTAATGGTAAAGCCTTTGAAATTTATTACAGTCAATCAATTTAATCACTCATATTTGATTTGCAGTGTTTGTTAATGGAAAATTCTGCAAAGATCCAAAACTTGCCACTGCAAATGACTTCTTTTTCTCAGTGAAAGAAGGAAACACGTCAAATTCACTTGGCTCAAAAGTGACACCGGTTGCAGTTAATGAGATATTAGGATTAAACACTCTTGGTATCTCTCTTGCTCGCATTGACTTTGCACCTAGGGGACTAAATCCTCCACACACTCATCCAAGAGCTACTGAGATTCTTATAGTTTTGGAGGGTACTCTCTATGTTGGTTTTGTTACTTCTAACCCACAAAACCGTCTCATTGCAAAAGTACTCAACAAAGGAGATGTATTTGTGTTCCCTATTGGTCTCATTCACTTTCAGTTGAATGTGGGATATGGAAATGCGGTTGCCATTGGTGGACTTAGCAGTCAGAATCCAGGAGTTATCACAATTGCTAATGTTGTGTTTGGATCTAATCCAAAAATTTCTTCTGATGTTCTCACAAAGGCTTTTCAAGTGGACAATAAGATAGTTGACAATCTTCAGAAACAGTTTTGGTTGGACAACAACTAGAATTACCAGTTTTGATAGTTTATATCTGATTTACTGTTAGTTTAATTTCTTATTTTACCTTTTGACATTGTTGATATTTATTATAAGATTTTAAGAAAATAAAATGTAGGGCATGATGTACCTTATATTCATATTTGAGCCATTTGAATAAAAAAAGTTTGCTTTGTAAATTGTATCTGTAACATCTTATTCTTAAATATAAAAAATAATTAATGGTAGCTTCTATATCAAGCTTTGGTTGAGTTTACAAATTAGTCCTTTGTATCCTGCTTTGGCTTCAAAAGCAACATGTGTGTCTTGGTGAAGTTTAATAGAAGGACCATAAAGAGATTTTAATAGCTTGCATATCAATATTTGGTTTAGGATTATTCACACCTTGTGGAATTGTCATATGCATTTACTCTTGTAACCTTCCATGATTTTAGCTACTCGAAAAAAGTATCAAAGAAGTCAAGACCCTTCACTTTGAATGTCCCGTTCCCACAAACCTTGATTTATGTCTCACAATAAATCCATCACCCTTATGCTCGATCTTGTACACATTAGGATTATAAGTGATTCCTCCCCTAATGTCTAAGAGATGGACATTAGGGAATTCACCACAGTGATCGATGATAGTAACATCTTCCGAGAACCGTGAACACCAATGAATGTCTGAATGCGTAAGGGACATCAGTCGATGAGACCATCTTTTACCCTATTCATTCTTCAAAGTAGATCTGGGTAGGTGCAAAAAAACCACCTAGCCAATAGAGGAGTGCAATACTGGAGGGTCCCCCTTCTTTTTAGAGTGCGAGCATGCAGAGAGTGTAGAATATCCCCGAGTAATGTAGGTACCGGATTCCGAGACAGAAAAACCTTGATTGTGCTCACATCTACGAGTTGATCCGCATTAGGGAAAAATACCATCCCGTAGATAAGGAGCGCCAAAACCTCTTCAAAATCTTGTAGATCCAGGGTATCCCAAAAATAGTAAGCCTTCTCGAACAGAAATTTAACCGGAATTCCTTGAACACTCCCTCTAGTTTCCCAATTTGTCACTATGTCGGACCGTTATAAGGATAGAGCTTTAGCAATTTCTTCAGGTTTGGAATGTCTTTCTGTACCACTGAAAGGTAGCTGATCAAGAATGGGTATCCCTAATAACTGAGAAAATTCCTCCATAGTAGGCACTAACTGGTAATCCGGGAATGTGAAACAGTGATGCAGAGGATAGAAGAAATGAAACAACACTTTCAACATTTCTTCGTCAGATTTTGCAGTGACCAAGTTGAGCAACCGGCCATGCTTTTCAGTGAAAGGAGAGCTTTCGGGAATCCTTACTGCCAAGTCCCTTAATTGGGAGATACTTTCACTAGGTTAATCTGAATAGTGTTCCTGCAGGCGGATGTTATATCCTACAAAACAGAGCAAAGATGGGCCCTAGAAACCCTTGAAACAGTTAGTATGATATGCTATGGTATGATGTTTATGATGTCATGATAAATCACAGGTATAACAAACATAGACAAATCACACCAAGTCCTTAGGTTTAAGGCATGCTTGAG